TTTAATCGCGTTGGGTACGTACAATCCTATGCTCAAACCTTGTAGAATCGCGGTCCCGTGCAAAACAAGCGGCGTGAAATAACGTGCGGCCGACTGGGCGAACACCGTTTGCAAAGTTTTATTAATCTAATTGTGTACAGCGGCGATAAAAGCGTTCCCTTGTTCGGCACGCGATTAAACGTGCAGCGGATAGATGATGGCAAAAGAGAGAAAGAGAGAGAATGAGAAAGAGAGAGGGGGGGGGGGGAAAGAGTTTCGCACACTGGAATATAAACTTTCGTTTATTACAAGAACTGGCCAAAAGTAAACCGCATCGCGGTCGTACTATTTTGCAGAGAGGACAATAACGTACGTCCGAGTGTGTTTAATTTACTTTAAATCGGTCAGTTGCGTGATCGGGGTAAGCCCACTTACGGATAATTAATACGCTACCATCCACCGACCGTGTACGTTATTGCTAATGTTTACCGAGCTATTTGGGGTGAGCATAATTTAATTATCGCTCATCTTCCGCCACTCTTTTTGTTATTACACGTGTTATCGCATTAGCAGCAGATTACTTCCCGCCGATTTAACTAAACGACATAAAATTTATAAAATTAACTTTCTAAGTTTCTAGAGATCTTAATCCTATTTTATTTTCCTTTTCCAATATCAAAGAAAAAAGACAAAGTTTTCGACGTATTTATTTATTATCATATGCATTGTCAAGTGATACAGATAATATAGTTACAGTAATATATGTATAACATAACACATATTATATGTACATTCTCATATTCCTTATGTCTATCACTTTCAATCTTTTAATATTCAGCAGTTAATTGTTTAATTAATTTAAATGTAGGCAAATAATTATATAATCCAATGAATCAAATATTTAACTAATGTTTTAATCAGTGATAATATATTAAAATGAGAAAATGATATTATATAATTATTATTAAAATAACTATTAAAATTGAAATAAAACTGTTAGAGGCTTTAAATCAATATCTTTGAGATATGTGTAGCAATTTATATATAGACTATTGCGTTTTATTCTAAAATGTTTTATTTATTTATAGATTCTAACGAATTGAAAGTCAATATTTTAGTAAGAAACTTGTTCAAACATTATCCTTTGATTATTATTACTTTAATTTATTTTCGATTTTAAACTTATAAATAATACTTACTAATAAATAATTAAACATTATATTAATACTTAAGCAAGGTCCATTAAAATTATGTAAAGAAGAAAATTATTTGCATCTTTCTGTAGCAGCCAATTCACTGCTTAAACTTTAATTTCGAATCGTTTGTAATTAAAAAAAAAGCCTTTATCAACTTAGCTTCTTCTTATCTCTTAAATTTCCGATAAAATGTCAATGTTTGCACATGCTGCTTGTCTGCACATATTTCATACAGTATTTCATATATCATACAGGGTTAATTTAACGCTAGTACATTGATGGATTAAAGACGATAAGAGGTAGCTGATAGGCAGGTATAATGAACGAGGTACTAATAAACAAGAGGAAGAGGTGTTTGACGAACACCGCAAGACTATCCTACGACTGATTTGCAAACCGTCACCGCATACAACGCGTGGAGTCCTAATCAGAATTTATGCGACCAAGCCAAGCGGAAGTGGCCGATGCATATGCATCGGATGTAATACGTTTGCTTAGATTCCGGAGGGGACACGACGGCGGTTCGTCGATGTTTACAGACCAGCCGCGAGGTTTCGGATCTTCATGATACTCTGGACAAGTCGTCGTGTCCTCAGAAACTCAGATCTCTCGCCCTCTGCTCTTCCATCTCTTGTGTCTTCGTCGTTTTCTGCGGCAAGCGTTAATTGATTCTCACACTAAGACCATTTTGACGGTGTCGTAAATTTCGCCGTCGTTTCTGCGCCTGCAAGGATTGACATTAATGACGTTGAGGCGCTATGAATTTGATAATAAAATCCTTGCATCTTAATAAAAAAAATAATATGAGAAAATAAAATCGAGCGTGACATTATTGACATTCAACTCCTACGGTCTAATTTTTTGCGGCTTTTGACAAAATACATAATGTTATGATCAAAAAAGATAATAGAAGATAATATTTACCTTGTTGTTAAAGCAAAAATAACTTTATTTTTAGGAAACATATGTATATACAATTTAAAGAGATTTAAGACATCGCATTTAACATATAGGTATAAAGTGTAGAGGAGAAAGTGGTATTATGGCACTACAGTTACATTTTACACAATAACTTTGTTAATAATCAATATTTAAGTTTAAAACCTGACAATTACGTTCATTAAAATGTTGTTGAATCGATTCTGGACTCAAAGTTACGAAATGTTTATTACTTAGGATACTATTAATAAAAATGTGGCGACATTGAATAACGACTCGAAGAAAAAAATGGGTGATAATGTGGCCTTCGATAAAAATAGCCTTAAAATATTAGTTTTGTTTAGAAAACAGTATTTGGTTACAAAATTAACAAAAAGTAAAATATTTTAAAATTTATGTAAATGAATGTATATACATTCACATAACTTCTGCATATAAGCTGCTCAGTACTAAAAATAGTACACGTAATATAAACTATAGATTAACAGTAGAGCTACAATCGATTATCAAATAACTATTTTGATATGAAAATCTTAAAAATGAGATCGTGAGTAATCAATATCGATAGAGGGCCACATTAGCAAAATGTCATAGTATTGTTTAAATTTGTATAATTCAAAATATATAAAGTCAAATAAAATGTTAAATAGCAAATAACGCACTCAAAAATACATATATGCGTGTGATAATACGCTCAAGTTTAAGAAAAATAAGGGGGGGGAAATAGGTGTAATTAAATGCTAAAGTGTACCTCAGAACCGTTTCAAAAAAACTTGAAAGTAAAAATGTGTTATAATAAATGCTGGTTATTGAGTATTGGTAATATTAGCGTCATGGTGTAATGGCGAGCTACTGAACTAATAATTCCACACGGAAAAAAAATGTAGTTATCATAACTAAAAATTGCACGTGATAACTAAATGGCAGATGTAAAATATGGACAGCTAAAATATAGGTATTATAGCTAACGTCTTAGATGTGATATCTATATTATAGCAGCAACAGCAAATCATTTCGCTGCAGTTTATAAATTTATAATTACGGCAGTAAATATATTATAACAAACTAAGATTAGCTGCGGCAGAGAAAATCTTTTTTTCTGTGCATAAGTAATCATTAGGATTTGCTATATAATGGAGGTATTAAGGGAAGGACACAATATATACACTGGCCATAATACCACCTTCTCCTCTATTAATTAATATTATTGATAAATAATATATAGATACCATAGTAATATTTATGTAAACGCTGTAAGATACGTCTTGCAATTATAAAAAGGGACAAAACAAAAGATAAATAAGAATATACACTACACTATTTTCCATTCCTAAATAACATACTAACGACACGCGCATTAGACTTAAAAGTATAATCATAAGCAACATAATGATTGTTAAAATGCATAACAACTCTATATCGAAAAACAACAAAGTTACATTACCTATTTTGAAATGTTTAATAATCCTGTCATTATTACAATAAATCGTATAATGAGGGCTTTTAAAAATCATATATAGAGGATGTCCCGAATTTAAGTGGCCAAACTTCGAAAGCGTATAGGGAATTGATAAACTAAAAAAATTTAGGAAACTACGCTTTAGGAAACTTTTCTTCTCTGATTCTTTGAATTTCAAATAAAATATCAATGTTTGCACATTCGTCGCATATATTTTGTGTAATTTACAAGACCAATATAATGCTCATAGTAGATTGGTGGGTTAAAGATGATAAGGCAGTTGATAGGCAGGTATGATGAACGAGGTTACGAACGAATAAGAGGAAGAGGTGTTTGACGAACACCCCAAGACTATCCTATGTCTCTGATTTGCAAACCGTCACCGCATATAACGTGTGAGGTCCTAATCAGAATTTGTACGACTAAGACAGACGGAAGTGGCCGACGCATATGCATCGAATGTAACGTTTGCTTAGTTTCCGTTGAGAAGATGCGCCATGCAACGGTAATTCATCGACGTTTATAAACCAGCCATCTCGGATCTCCGTGATTCTCTAGAAGTGGTCGGCGTTCCTTAGGAAACGCTCTCGCCCTTCGCTCTTTCATCTCTCCGTCATCATTTTCTGTGGCGAGCATTAATTGATTCTCACGTTGAGACACCAGTTTCCTTGGTTGACAGTATCTCGTAAATTTCACCGTCGTTCCTACGTCTGCAAGGAATGACAGTAATGACATTGGGTCGCTTCGAATTCGACGATAAAATCTCCGCGACGATAAAATCTTAACAACGGTTATAATATAAGAAAAAAACGAGCACGCGTTACATTATTTAATATTACTGACATCCCACACCCAGATCTAATTTCTCTCGCTTGCAATTTTAATAAAATGGTCTGAAAAAATATAAAAAAATAGTAATAATATTTTTATCTTAACGGTAAAGCAAAAGTAATTTTATCTAGAAAAACATGTTCAGAACTAAAAGAGATTTAAGAGAATTTAACATACAGCGTATCGGTTAATTTATTGTAATACTAATATTATTGATCAATTATATACTATAATAATATTATAATATAAAAATACTATAATAATATTTTATTTAAATACGTTTTGCAATTGCATAAACAAAAAACAGAAGATAGATAAGATTATACGCTATTTTCCATTTCTAAAAATAGGAATGAAATGATAAGATAATATACTATGTACACACATTGGATGCAAAAGTATAATTATAATAAGTGATTGTTAAAATGCAACATTGTTAAAATGCGGTTCTATATTGAAAAACAACAAAGTTGCATTATTTCGAAATATTTAATAAGCCTACATTGTTGTTATAGATTATAGATTGTATAATGAGGGCTTTTAAAAATCGTATATATGTAGGGCCGAGGAAAACTATAAACTACATAAAATTCTGCAAGCGATCACCACTGAGCCGTGTATGAAGTACATTTCTATCAATACTATTCATTTTTATTATTTTACTGAGTGTAACGGTATAAACAAAAATGGGACATCTTCCGTTGATTATATTAATACTGTCGATGGCAACTACCAGCTTTGGTGTCAAAATGGAAATCGTACATAAATGGAAATATCTAGATTATGTTTGGGATAATCCGAAGCAGAAGGCAGACGCAATAAATTCTGGCAATTATAACGTTAACACGTGCTTTTTAAACGATATAGATAAAGCAGATGGTAGGTTAATAGTGAATTATTCTGAATATATTATTTTGAATATAATTATGAATTATACATATATTGTATATATATTATCATACATATTTCGATACTGCTAATACGACTGATAGCATTGCTATTTTACATTGAAATTCACGATATAAGCATATCTTTCTTAATAGAAGACAAATTCCATTTTAACGAACTAAACTTTTGTAGACGGTACAATATTCGCTACTGTACCAAAAGTCGTCAATTTTGCTGTGCCAGCTAGTCTGGTGACAGTCAGTGACATAAAAGGACCAGGGGGTCCACTTTTACATCCTTATCCAGATTGGTCTTGGTATAATAATAGTGACATGTGTGATAATATTGTAAATGTTTATATGATTCATGTAAGTACTGATATTTTTCATCCAAATGATTATTATATCTTATATTTATAGACATTTTTATTAAAATAGCCAATATAATATTACACATTATGCACATCTATTTCCATATACAATAATATTATCAGTTTGGTGACTATTTGAAATAGAATTTTTACTTTCACCTCAGATTCAATATAATCATATTTTCGTTTTGGATAACGGCTACGGATCTGAGGAAGAAAACTGTGATCCAAAATTATTGATCTTTAATTTAGAAAATAATAAGCTAGTTAAGACTATTAACATCCCACCTGACGTCGCTACTAACGAAACTGGTTCTGGATTTCTAATAAAGCCTTTTGTTTACGTTCCCGAAAACTGTGATCCGGAACAGTTACTGGATGAAATGATTGTTAGTATATCTTCTTTTGATAATTTGTTTCATTTTTATTACAATAGTACATAAACTCGCCATATTATATTTGTTCAAATATTATTTAGTTCATGTAGTTGTACATTTCGTATTCTAAGAATTCAAGTTATTCAACATAAATATAAATACACACAGGTGTTTATATCCGACGTGGTAGGTTCCGGTTTAGTGGTTTATGATTCGTCTAAAGATAGTTTATGCAGAGTCGAATCTGATTTCATGAGAGCGACTGACTACATTAATATCACCGTGGGAAACCAAATTGTACCTTTTACAGCCGGTATATACGGTTTGACAATCATTCGCGACGGCAAGTATTCATTTTTTATTTAATACAAAAAATATTGTTTCAATTATGTCTGAATTTATTACACCTGACACGTATTAAGAGTTTTAAGTATGTAACTTTAAACTAATACTCTTGTATACTCATACTATTTGCATTCACAATTTTTTCTTTTTGTTAATATTTATATATTTACGTTGCATACATATGTAAAGCATAGAAGACTTTTCTGTAAATTTTTATATTTCTTTCATTAATATTTTAGACCTTCTCTATAATCCTTTAACGGAGAAGAAAGTATATAAGATGAAAATAAAGGAGCTACTAAAATGTCCAGATAAAGAAAAGGCAAATAATCAAATTAAACTTGTGGGTGAATTACCAATTCAGACAGGACCATTAGCATCCGCAGAGTGTTCACTCTTTTCAAGCAATTCTCTACAAAATTCCATTCAAGGCACGAACGCTTGCAAAAAGTTTTATCCTGAGGATATGGTGAGATATTCGAATGGAATTATTTTCTATACCGTTCATAACAATTTATTTCAAAACTATCTTATTAACGATAATGTGTGTATTAATAATAATAGTTCCATATTTACCGTTATAAAATGAAATGATTTTAAGGTGGTCTTAGCGCAAAATGATAAAAAGTTGCAAGTTGTAATTGGAATGAAAGCTCTACAGCGTCATGATGAACTGATGGTGTCATCAATTACGAATAATTACGCTAATAATTGTATAAATCTAAATAAGATAAATTTCTTTATCGTCAAGTTTAAATTAACTGAAATACAGAAGAAAATAAATTCTAATACTTGTATCAGAAAGAAATAGATTCTAATGCTTGTACCAAATCAGATTTACACGATGTGATATTATAAATATTATGTATAATTTTAATATGTATAGAACACATAATGTAAAAGACGAGCTTAATATATAAAATGTAATTAATAATAAATGTATATATAAATAAATTAATTTAGTTTATTTTTTGACTATCAAATTAATTTCAATTCTCCATAATTAAATAAATTTTAATTTTCGATTTGTCTTTTATATTAAACAAATTGCAGTGACATGTTCTCAAAATTAGAATTTACAAACATTTATTTTCGGTTTTAAATATATCAGACAACAAACGCGCACTAGGCGCACGCTATTTAACTTACTCGAGCATGCGCTACATTATTTAACATTACTGACATCCCACACCTAGATCTAATTTCTCTCGCTTGCAATTTTGACAAAATAATTGTTATGATCTGAAAGAATATAAAAATAATATTTTTTAACGGTAAAACAAAGGTAATTAAATTTATCTAGACACGTACAGAATTGAAAAAGATTTAGAGGATCGCATTTGACATATAGTGTACATCTTAGTTAATTTACAGTAGTATTAATATTATTGATAAATGACTAAATATTATAAAAATGGATAAGGTTACAAATGTTATTTTCCGTTCCTAAAAATAGGAGTAAATTGATTTTATGTGCAATGAGGTGCAACTAGTGTCAATACAAGCCTCATAATAAAAATATCATGTTTATTTATTAAATTTATTAGAAATAAGTCAAAAAGTTGCAAATTCGTTTATATAGACCCAAAATATATGTACACACATAAAATAATGTTAAAATTTTCTTATATTGTACATACATGTATCAATATTTAATCAATAATAATAATAAGTATATCGCTAACTTCTCTCGAATATTTCTCTGGAAATATTTTTAGCTTTACGACTATAGCCTCAGTGACAGGTAAAGTAGAAAATTGCATAGTAAAGCGAAACATTTTCATAGACGCAAAACACATAAATATTGAAAGCACTCTTCGACTCCGTTATTACACATTGTATTTTACATAAAGAATGCATAGTAAATTTGTAGTGAATCTTAGTATATTCTTAGGATAATTTAAAGGTCCTAAAAATTTTAATACGAATCAGCTATCAGTCAAGCTACATGAAAAAGGTTTGGTAAATAAATTATTACTAATAATTGTATTATATATAAGGCTATAAGACATCTATCTATAGTAGAATAAGGAATAGAAATAAAGAAATAAAACAGATATAAAGAAAACTGTACAAAATATTTGAGAACCGTTTTCTAAAATCAGACTGTTCGGAGAAAACCATGCAGGTTGTCGAGTGGATGATGAAATAGACATCGTTTCAACTTGTTCTCAGAGATTTATTTATCAAGCTTGACACGCGCGTTTGGCGTCATATATTTTTGTACAAGAAAGAAAAAGAACAGCAGGGATAGATCGATACGGACAAAGATCGATGCATATACTATCTAGTAAGAAATCACGAAACAAATACCACCGAGAAATCGATGTCAGTAGCATCGGTAGCTTTTTTTTCAAACATGCTTGAGCACTTCACTCTATACATGGGATAAAGTAAGAGGATTTGCAAATGGTTTTGCACGTGCGGAGAAGGAAAACATAATTCGAGCTCGCAACGCTACATGCAAGTCTTTCACGTTAAAACAATGGAATATTAATATTGATGACAGCGAGGAGTTCCTTCCTCTTCGACCTATTTTTGTCCACGTCACCCTCGTTCTTATAATGCTCGAGTTAAGAAACGGAAGCGTAGAAAACAATTTCACCGATACGTTCGTTAGAGCGAGAATTGGTATTGACAGTCTGATGCAGGCTCATTGATCGATCTGACAGTCACCGCGAATTTAATGCACCGACCGACACGGAAAGCTGTCCAGCAAGATCTATGTCCCAGGATGTCAGGCAGACAACGTGCAGTAACGTGCACAAAAGAGCCTGGAGGAAACGAAATACACGAAGGCGTTTACGATATCAAAACCACCTGGGAACGTTGCTCTGAAATGGAACAAAACTTCGATGCTTCCTACTTTATTCCTTCTCTTTTCCCCTGATATACATATACGGGTTTCTTCTTTCACACATAAAAGCAGCTCGATTCCTCGGTGCATCTACATCTCGCTTCTGCATACGCATCGTTTCGATAAGGAGCTCGTCCATGAAGCATCGGCTTTATGAATAAAAACAAGAACATACACGAACATGAAACTCGAATTGAGAATCGGAAAGCCACAATAAAACAGGCTATCTCGCTTAATGGAATCATCGATGGCGAGAAAAATTTCTTACGGAATTCTAAAAGCTTGTCTGAAAGGTAAACTTCTCGCTCACGCATTGCTATTTTTGAACCGATGGCTGTATTTCTTGTATTAAACGTGTTACGCGCACTTGGTATACAAAAAAAGCTCAAACAAATGAGACATAAGCAGTAAGCACAAATCAATATTTTGAATTTTCTACTGCTTACGTTATTGCCTTACGTTCTCTACTGTGATTGACAGATTCGCTTACTACTTACATTTTTTTATGTGCGATAGCTTTAATTTTACTCTCAATAATCAAGGTAAAAATTAAGGTTATTTTCCAACAAACACCAAAAGTTACATGTAATATATCTATTAGTTGTAATTTCCCACTCAACATAACGGTAATATAACACATGTGTTTATATTACTGTTACATATTACAGTCATATTGTTGAACAGGAATTAATTACAACTAACAGGTATTTTACATGTAATTTACGTGTGCTCGGTGATCCACTCACCCACGTATAATTCCTGGAGAACATTTCTTTCGCATTTCAAAGAGTAAAAATTTGAATTTAATATCTCAAATATATGTGAATAAAAAAAAAAGAGAATTTTTTAAACTACAAAAGATGTTTCTTTTTTGCTCGTTGTATGGAAAGAGAAGGAATGTATTTAAATGGCTATGCGATTTCAATATGTCAGCAGATGTTCAAGGTCTAGCTCTCATAAAGGAAGCTTTTAAAAAATAAAGTAAATATCTCGGTATATCGACAAAGGCAAGGTAAATCTCATAGGAGACGTATGTCGAATTTGCGCGGAAATGCAAAGCACGTGCATTGGCGAATGCATTGAGAGGAATTTGTTTTACGATCAGGTCAGGATCGTGATCGTATATTTTGCTACCAAGAAATCAGCAGAAACTGCGTTCTCTTCCAAAACAAGTTAATAAAATCAAATTTACTCGTGGACGTTGGTTAATGTCCGTTGTAATTTTGGAAGGACAAAAAAGTATTTTGTATTTAATATAAGATAACGATATATTAAAGAGACATGTGTACAGAGTTTTAATAATTTTATTAATTTTTAGAGAATTTTTAATTATGATGAAAACCAAAATTAACATTTAAAAAGAGGATGGAGATTTATTTTTAATATATTACAGAGAGAATTCTTTTTTTAAATAAATTTTGTTATAATTCATTATATTCTTTATATTTCATTGTATTCTTTGCTTTAAAATATGACATTATTTCAACGTTACTTTAATGGCTTTTCCGTTTTGTAAAGATTAAAGAATTCTTACAAAATGGATCTGAACAATCAACCTTTTTTTCACACACGTGTCTTCGCAAATAAGTTCCTGATATAGTAACTGAGTTTGTCAGATGGCAAATAGACACTATCCTGAGATCAAAACATTTCAGAAACATACGTGCTCTTCGAGTTGAGAGAACAATCGCGACAAATGCACACGCTGAGAAATTCTGGCGGAAATGTCAAGAGAAGGAAGTCAGAAAAAGTAAAATATCACTCGATGGCTCTCACTCGAACAAAGAAGTGTTCTAAAAATATTCTTCTGTGTTCTCAGTAGAAAGCTCACTTTTCGTATACAGAACTCATGAAATATTCACAGTTTCAAAAGCAAAGCGATCGTTTGATTGGTTTAACGTTATTATTACATTTATTATACATTCCTCTATGTTATATATGGATGCAAATGATTTACAAAATTTTTGTCTCTCAACGTCTTAATGATTCTTATATATTTTCAGTTGAAAAAGAATAGGTATAAATAATATTACGTTTAGGTACGCTAAAGAAAAGAACTTAAAGTAGCTGCCAAAAAAAAGAACTCTTCGAAAGCGTGAAGAAAAAAGTTACGAACGGATGGGAAATGTCATCTGAATCGTTAATGCCGTCAAATCGGGAAATCCGGAAAGAAATCCAAAACTGTCATCGCCTGTACAATTGATCATACATTAAACTTTTTTATTTCGATAAATCCCACACTTCAGAAATCAAACAAAAATAGTCGCGGGATAAAATACGGTTGAGAAAAATTAATTTAATTAAAAATACTCTGTTCAGCAAAAACATATCTGTTATATCATGTATCATATAAACGCGAGGTGTGACGAGCATTTATATGCATTTGCTTCGTAAAGTTGTTAAAAATATTAATTAAAAGTTTGGCTTTTAATTATTGGATGATACACACAATATATGCTTCGCATTCATTCGCAGATATCTAGATGTTTCATGAAAAATTCTAATTTTTCAATATTTTTCAACGTTTTCGATGTGTATAGCAAAATGCAAACTGCATAAAGTGAAATCGTAATTTGCGATTTTTTTTATTCACGTCGACTTTCTACGATGTGATTCTCATACATGCCTGCACTACTAAATTTTTATCTACATTTACATGTACAAATAAAGATATAATTGAAATTAAAATAAATTAATATGATTATAACATCTATAATCTGTTACTTCCGTACTTAAATATTTAATACATATATTATACAATACATAGGGTGATATTTGCTAAAGGAAAAAGTTGTTTCTTTTAGCATAAAGTATCATGTCTTGTATCTCGAATGCGGGAATTTCGGATCACCCTGTATATAATATAGTTTTATGAACATTATGTGTATTATTATTATATATTTTTCTTTATTTGATTATGAATTTGTTTGATCTCTTAAACTAAAATTGACAAT